CCGTTAGGAGGTTCGTAGATGCGGTGGGGTTTGTTATTCGAAGGGAGCCGAGATAATCTGCAACGTCAAGGATTAACCACAAGATGGCTTGATTGAGGCTCAAGTTACAGTCCGGTAGAGAGGTGATTGTGGACTGGGTTGGTATATATGAGGAGACGGGAAAGGGGGTAACACCATGTGATCCCTGTTGTTTACCTGCCCATGCCCAACTAGGGGTCTGACAACATGCGGTAGGATAGGTGCAAACAAGCCTGTGTGATTTTGGCGGCAAAGAGACACTGGTGCCCGAAAACGGTGGTGCGGGATGCCTACCTCTGGCTTCGTTTCTTCCTTGTGGTGGGGTTTACAGATGGATCGTAAAGGTATAGGCCGACGCCGAGTTTGTGAAATGATGGTACGGAGTCGATAGACGATCAGCAGAGAGAGAGCAGGTGGTTGGTCGGGTACTTCGTTGGATGAAGGGACTGGATGTTTCTCGTGTCGGACGGAGTTGTGCTTGGGATGGACTCAAAGCGTAGGTAGGCGCAGAGATAGGTGTGGGCGGTCAGAAAAGGCGGCAGGGGCAGGGCGGCAAGGCGCCCTGACGGGAAGTACGCAGAGGTACCTTGCGTTGTACCTACCTGTACCGGGCTACAAGATTTGGCAGTTGGTTCTTTCCTTCCATGTTGCAGTCAACTGGGTGTGACGCCCCGGTTCGTCAAGTGAGGTGCCTGGCTAGAAACTCGCTAAGGTGGACATCGAGCGAATCATCATTTTGCGACTAAAGACTTGGAGACAGGAGATGCACCGTGCTGGGTCCTATTCATCCCTATCCTTTAACCTCGATTGGATGTCATACACAGTATGATGGATGTAGAATATTTGCTTGTTGGGCGGTGGAGAAAGCCAGCATCTCAAACTATGTATGGCAGACGGACTGAGGTGTAGCGTACCTTATGTTATGTCCTTGTAAGTTGGAGGTCAGGAAGTGCGTGTGGTGTAGAAGCTTCCACTTCCATACGTGCAGTGGGCTCGAAGCTCATGCGGCACAGGGCACAAGCTCTCACCAACGGGCCCTTCATCGCCTACCTACCTCTAGAAGGACGATACCGCTCAGGAACATTGTCTCCCGCCCTTCGGCACTACAACATGAGCAACGACACGATGCAAGGCATAACATCCACAAAGTGTTCTAACTGAGGGCAGCCGTCCAACAAGATTACGCCAGGCGACGGGCGCTTGTCAAGCTGGAGCTGGAGTCCATGGGTGGTACTGGTGCACCCTAGGGCCGGGCATGTCACCGTGTCACTGGGCTGGCGCCGCTCATCCACTGCGATGGATGGAATACAGTGGATGTACACTACACTAGCGAATGGGTCCGCCCGGGCCACCTGACAGATAAGATAAGAGCGCGGCTTCAGTGGGGACCGGGAAATTTTTATTATGGATGACCGTGGAAAAAAATTTGGTCGAGATTTCCATTCCCCCAATTACCACAAATCTGCAGTCCCGCGGTACCCTCGACGGAATGATCTTGCGGCAAGCCTCCGGTCCATCAACTGTCTTGTATAGACAGAGGCTGCAGCAATGGAGTCATCATCGAGAGTTTTCGTGAAGAACCTGCCGCCTACCATCACCGAAGCCGAGTTTCGCAAGCACTTCTCGGCTGAGGGTCGCCAAGTCACCGATGTCAAACTTATCCCAGCCCGTCATATTGGCTTCGTCGGTTACAAGTCAGCGGAAGATGCCGCCCGGGCGGTCAAATACTTCAACCGTTCCTTTATCCGCATGTCCAGGATTTCAGTCGACATAGCAAAACCGGTATGCTCCAGCCTGTTTTTACACTGCTGGCCAATACCCAACCTGATGCTAACAGCAACCGTCAGATTGCGGACTCAAAACCCCAGCACAAACCAGCTTCAAAGGGTCCTTCGAAAGATGCCGGCCCCAAGAATGCGCCCCAGGTTGTGCCTCCCAACACCAAGGTAACTGCCGCCGCGGTACCTAAAGTGGAGGCCGCCCCAGATGCCCCGAAGAGGAAACTGGATGTTTTGGACGAGGCCGATCCGAAACTCCAGGAGTACCTCGATGTCATGGGGGCTCACCCATCCAAGAAGATGCGCAATGCCGAGGGCCTTCCAACCACCGTCGACGAGGTCCTGGCACCAGCTGTGCCTGCCGGCTTGGAGGATGGTGAAAGTGACGATGAATACGAGGACATCCCCTCTCGTACTCATAATCAGTCACACACTGCCGATCAGGAGATGGTTGACACCCCTCTTGCAGCAAGCGCTGAACCGTCTGAGTCAGCCCCACCAGTGTCTCTCGATGCTACTGATGATGACTGGCTTCGCTCGAGGACAAACCGTCTCCTTGACTTGGTCGACCCAGAGGATGCCGCTTTCGCTCTTCGTCCAGCTGCCCCTGCAGCTGTTCCTGTGCCATCCACGTCCGTTGAAAACACGGCGTCGGTAAAGGCAGAGGAACATTCCGCCGAGGACTCTAGAGAAATGGCAGCGACCTCGACGCATGACACTGAGTCGGCTGTAAGCCTGATTGAAAAGACATCACGGCTTTTCTTGAGGAACCTCAGTTACACCGTCACTGAGGATGATGTCAGAGAGCACTTCGCCAAATTTGGCACTCTGGAAGAGGTACGCTGCAACATTTCCTTGTCATCTTTCCTTTCGCCCTCTTTATGATGAACCCCTGATAGGGACATCTTATGCCAAACGCAAATGATGTGAATTTGGGCTCGGTATTTTAGTAGATGCTTCGAGTTTCTGATCATAGGGCCGATCATTATCAAATTGTTTTGGATCACAGTCACTTTGAATTCCTGCTGACCCTCTGCGTCAGGTGCATGTCCCATTAGATGCCAAGGGGCATAGCAAGGGCTTTGCTATGATTCGCTACGAAAAGCCGGCGTCCGCACTTGCTGCATTCCAGACAGATGGTACTGTTTTTCAAGGTCGAATCGTCCACATCCTGCCCGCCGCTGCCAAGAGGGAGAACAAGCTGGACGAATTCGCTCTCTCGAAGCTGCCTTTGAAGAAGCAACAGCTGTTGAGGAAGAAGGCTGAGGCTGCTTCTAGCACCTTCAACTGGAACTCCCTCTTCATGAGCCAAGATGCTGTGAACACGGCAATGGCAGAACGTCTAGGCGTGTCAAAGGCTGAGCTTCTGGATCCTACGGACGCGTCTGCTGCTGTCAAGCAGGCTGTTGCTGAGACAACGGTCATCCAAGAAGCAAAACAATACTTTGCTGCCAATGGTGTGAACATTGAGGCCTTCAAGACACAACAGCGGGGCGACACCACCATTCTCGTTAAGAACATCAAGAACACCACAATTGAGGAGTTGCGGACTCTTTTCGAGGAGCATGGTACAGTACTCAGAGTCCTTATGCCACCCAGCGGCACTATTGCCATCGTCCAATTCGCACAGCCTGTCCAGTGCAGGACAGCTTTTGCCAGGAAGGCATACTCTCGTTTCAAGGATTCTGTCTTGTTCCTCGAGAAGGGACCGAAGGGTCTCTTCACCGACAATGTGGCTGTACCCACTGATGCTCGTCTTGCCGGTGTGCAGAAGCCGTCTGTGGCTGATTTGCTGGAACGAGACGATGCTGAGGAACAATTGGAGACTTCTTCATTGTTTGTTCGCAACCTCAACTTCTCCACCACTTCTCAGGGCCTGACCGACGCCTTCAAACACTTGGACGGGTTTGTCCAGGCGAAGGTCAAGACGAAAACAGACCCGAAGAAGCCAGGCCAAGTGCTCAGCATGGGCTTTGGTTTTGTGGCTTTTCGAACCAAGGACCAGGCACAGGCTGCGCTCAAGGTCATGGACGGCCAGGTTCTTGATGCCCACAAAATTAGCGTCAAGGCATCACATAGAGGTCTCGATGCCGCTGAGGAACGGAGGCGGGAAGATATGGCCAAAAAGGCGGCGAACCAAGGCACCAAGCTCGTCGTCAAGAACTTGCCTTTCGAAGTCACGAAGAAGGAGGTGCGGACTCTGTTCAGCACCTATGGCAAGTTGGTTGCGCTTCGCATTCCTAAGAAGTTCAACCAATCATCGCGCGGTTTTGCTTTTGCGGAATTTTCCACAGCCAAGGAAGCGCTCAACGCGTTTAATTCTCTCAAAGATACCCATGTTCTCGGACGTCGTCTTGTTATTGATTTTGCGCAGGCGGAGGATATCGACCCGGAGGACCAGATCGCTGCGATGGAGAAGAAGACTCGTGCCCAGGTTAATAAGGTCGCCCTGCAGCAACTTACAGGGACAGGGCGGGCGAAGGTCACCATTGGAGATAACGATGAAGATGAAGTATGAAGCACATGAAGAATTGAATCTTTTCCCTAGGTCTCAGATTTTGGGACGGGGTTGCGGCAATCATGTCTCGGTTCCCTTGTGAAGGAGGTGCTCGGCACCCTTGTCAACCATGTCTGCCTTTTTAGGACAACCACCTTTATTGCATCCAAGTCCCTTTCACGCACACTCTCTCCCGTGCTCACATCCGTACTGTGCAAAGTAATTTTGCCGCATGCCTGAGTGAGGGCTGCTTGGTCCAAGTCCTCCCATTTCTGCCTATGGTTCGATGGCCGGCACCGACTGACTGGTGCTGCAGATTTCCCCTTGTCAACTGGTACGGTTCCCTTGCGTGCCAGTTGGTCCTGTCCAAGTAACAACAAGCAGCTGATCTAATAACAGTTGTTTGACAACACCCAGGGCGACAGTCGCCCTCGAGTAGCATGTTGCAAGAAACATCCCAAGGACGGCTTGCCTGGGATTGGTGATCGTTATCGAGGGAAGGGCGACGGCCCTTTATAAGATATTGACCACTCCCCTCCATGCCTCAACGGCTTAACCCCCCTTCATACTAGCATATTTTATATCCTCTTTGGCTTGCGTCTGACGACAAGTCATTCCTTTTGGGCATTCTTCCTCTTTATTTCAGCCCGCTGTGGGAGTACCAAAGCGTTTACTTTCCAGTGGTTCTTGTACCAGTGCCTTAAAACATGGAGTTGCCAGTCAGACCCACGACTCTTGCGTCGCAGTGTTACCCGCCTTCGTCGGACTTTATCCTGGATCATCGCCATGTCCTCTCCGCACCAAGACCGCCTCTGCGCGAGTCCACTGGCAATGCTCAGTATCATCATTTCCAACAACAGCATGAGCAACAGCAACGCCGACAACAGCAGCAGCAGCAACAGCAACAACTCGGTGCTCTGGTAAGGTCGACGTTTGCACATCATCAGCTCTCCATTCCTAGTCCACCCGTTGTCCCGACTCAGTCTGTCAGTTCCGCCTATGGCACCCCCGAATTCCTTGGGTTACAGCAAAGGCATCAGATGCAGCTTCGGAGAAGGGAACATGCCATCAACCCAATCTACTTGTCACCTCAGTTTCTCAGTTACAGGAAGAAGCAAGCAAGTAAGAGCAAGGAAGAAAAGTCAGACCAGAAATGGCCAGACGTCCTTGAGGATGCGTTTCTTGACGGTGAGGATCTTGTGAAGAACCTTGTATTGTACAGACCAGGTGGCTGATACAGGTACTTGTCCAGCTATGTTGCTTATCCCTCAGCAAATGGGAAAGAGAAAGTACACGATGCGTTCGAAGCTCTGGGGTCGGAACATGTTAGTTACTGAGTATCTCTGGATAGCGTATCGTGCCAGCTTGCCGCCCGGAACCGAACCGGACCCGAAGATGAAGAGAACGCGAAAACAGGTGTCGAGCCACATCCAAGTTTTGAAGAACTTACTTCTGAATCATCGATGCTGTAAGTTTGAATTCGTTGAAGCATTCCGCTTTGTTTAGCCCCATTGCACGCTACATGTAGTTGCCCAAGCAAACATTTCTTTTTCCGGCCCCGTCAGGCTTCCCCCCCTGTGCTTGCTTTCCTGTCGTGCAGATTCTGTATATCCTGTGGCGCGCACACAAGCTAACCAACGGACCCCCCTTGCCCGCCCTCCCTGCGCATAGTTCACTTCTTCTTCCCTCGACACGATGAGAAAGAGGAGAAGAGCAGACCACGCAAGGTGGCTAAAAAGCAGCCCTTGTCGGCGACGAAGCTCAAGGAAATCGAGTCTTTCAAGAAAAACCCAGTGCTGATTGCCTTGGCAGAAGGTCGTCTTCCCGATGAGCGGCCCAATTACGAGTACTTTGCCCACATCCTTGCACTGAATGACCAGATTGCCATCCGGCCCAAACGATGTTGGATCTTCGTGTCACACCCCAACGTCAATGTCCGGGGTGACGGCTCCGGATACCTTCCCACCACGGGCGACAGGCTAGACAAGAGCGAATACCCTCACCTTGAACGCAACCTCGAAAAGGAGAAATGGGCCAAGGAAGAACAGCAGATCTTCAAAGGCTCGCTTTTACACGAGTTTACGAAGGAAATTCGCCAAGTAGAGTCCAGCACTGTCAGAGAAGTCAGCAGGGGGTGGGAGACCTCGTTTCCCAAACTCCATGAGCGACTTGAGGCCATCGTCGCCGCCGATAGTCGCTGCGACTATTTGCACATGAACGTCGCCTTGGAGCTGAAGGAAAAGCGAGGTTTTCCCAACCAATCGGACTTCAACTCGTGGATTGAGATCAGCATCGAGCAACCACAGTTACTCAGCCACCGGTGGAAGGTAGAGACGAAGCTTGTCCGCCCGGCCGAGTTGAGCTTCGTGAGCGAAAAGTCGCCGCCGCAAACATACTATGAGACAAGTGCCGAGATCGCCATCCAATACCAGCACCTCCCCGGTTGCGACGGGTACAACCATCAATGTAATTGCATCTCGGCGCGCCGACGTCGGGACTGGGTCATGGTACCGTTCCCAGCTGACGCATGGGCGCGAACTCTCACCAACTGCGCTGAGTATCCCGCTCACCCGTTCACAGGAGTGCGGCGAGAGGCCAACAAGAGAAGGGCAACGGCCGCTTCCTTGAAGAGAGAACCTCAAGATTCTGAAGACAATGACGACACCGAGAGCACCAGTAGCACCCGATCTAGCGTCAGCGGCGACGGAGGCCAACCAACACAGATGGAACTAGTTCCCCAGATTGCCATGCTCCAAGAGATCTGGTCCTGCCCACCCGAGTCTCCTCTCGAGCAGCAGGATGTTGGCCTTACCGGCACCGCAAGCCACCAGCCGCAATGGACCCGCTGTGCCGTGATCCTTTGGACATTCGAGACCATCCACAGCCTCGACAGCGCCGGTAGGGTCCTCACCGCACAAAGCGGCAAGACCAGCTGGCGCTTCCTGACCGTCCTCGACCCAACAAGCCCCTACCACCAGCAAAAGGCACTGCTTAGCAGTTCCGAAGCCGCTGCTGCCGGACAAGTCATTGGGCCAAAGCGCCACACAACAACCGCCGCCGGTAGGACTTCACTGAGTATCAACCCCCATTATCCCGGGCCCTCCCACGGCATAGGTGCAACAGAAACCTTCGTCCCATCGCCCATCTCCACATCAATGGGAACCACGCCCGGAATTGGGGGTCGCGCCGGCGACCTGATCGTGTCACCAGCATCCAGCTACCAGCAACACCTGAACGCCGCTGCCGGAATGGGCGACGTGTACACCTCGGCTGCGGTCTCGACCGCCGCAACATCTACCGCATGGGGCGGTGGTACTGATCCCCGGAGCTCCTTCTCCTCTGTGGGATCTGGGGCTACGCATTTTAGTTCTGCGGCTGCGGCAGCAGCAGCAGCAGCAACAGACTACGATGCCCAGTTCCAGATGATGCTTGAGCATAGCATGAGGGGAGGAGGAGGCGGAGGTGGACATGAAGGGCAAAGATTGGGGAGTTACGGTGGTGCCAGTGCTCACTCGGGCTTGGAGACACCTCCGCCTAGCGCAACAATGAGTGTCTCATTTACTCACAACTTTGATGCCGCGGGTGGTCCGGGTGGTGGGAGTCAGAAGCAGCATTACAGCCATCAACATCCAGCCCCCCATACTGGTCTTTCCCTTGCCAGTCATCATCTTCTTCATGCACACAACCCCCCACAACCTTCACTGAATGATCTGGCTGCTGTGACGGATCCGTTTTTGACCGCTACATCTAATCTCTATGGTCCTTCCACCACCGCACCGTCCACTTGGTCTGGTACCAGTGGGTTCGAATCAACCTGGTTAGCGGCACCAGCGGGGTACGCCGCTGCTAGTACTCACGCTGCTGTTGGTGATGGTGCTCAGCAATGGGGAACAAGGACGTCGTCGTTGACGTCTCAACATCTACATCCTCAGACTTCTGTTGTTGCTTCACATCCACCTAGCAACCCCGTCTCAAGAGCGGGGTCAGTCGATGGACGTTATAGCCATCAGCTACACCAAACATCTCATCAGCATCCTCATCAACAACAGCACCAACAACAGCAATGGCAGGGCAATGGCACTGCCGGGGGGCTGGTTGATGACCACGGTCTCTGGACACCCGCCACGTCGGCCGGTGCGGAGGTTCACTGGCCTGTGACTGGTGATGAACAGCAAGAACATCACCAGGGGCATTCCCAGTCTCAGCATCATCAACAGCAGCAGCACCACCACCACCAACATCATTATGCGCGTTTTCAAGATCAATACCAGTCACATCCTAGTCAGCACCAGCACCAGCATCGATCTATAAGCTCAAACTCTCCCAAAGAAGGCCACCACCTCTCGCAAGAGTGGGACGAGATTGTGGCCAGCGCCAACGGATCACAAGGGGCAGCGTTGGTGGAAGAGATGCAAATGGGAGATGACTACCACCATCAAGCTCAGTCACTCACGCGAGGAGTTAAGCGTCCTCGATCAGCCGTAGGTCTAGGGGATGATGATGATGAGGAATCAGGGGATGAGAGCGATGATAGTGATGACGAAAATTATGAGGAGGACTAGTCACATGATATCTTCTGGTATCAGCAGCGCGGGCCTTTGGTGATCAATGTGAGTGCGGAGCGCACTGGAAACGGAAAACATAATCGTGGATGGACGGCAGTTGCGTGGAACTCTTCCAATGACTCGATAACTGGATTAGATGAGTGATCAAGTTGGGCGGATGGAGATTCCCGCCATTTTCAAGCCACTTGGCAGTGGGCGTTTTTAGGTTATGCGGGTTCTTTTTTTGGATTCGCTTTTGACATGACGCATGATCAAAGGGCGCATCTCAACTTGGTTATATTACCTTTTTTTTTCTTCCCCAAGTCTCCATTTGTATGTGTGTGTGTATGTGTTGTGTCTCACGGTAGTAGTTTTGTGAACGATAAAATAGGAGACGGAGGATATGATGGGGGCATCGCTATAGGGCCAAGATTATCTGCACACAATGAGACAAAGTACTTGTGCATTGCTATTATTGAATCATCAGACGATGACTCTATTTCCATGTGTTTTGCTTGCTAAGTGAAGAGTACGGTTTTGAAATTGGGTTTCACATTCAGTTTGTGGGGTCCAAAGAGTAACGTAGATGAAAAATCAGGCTGAGCAATGGCTGGGAGAAATCATTGTACTTCATCATGACAATCTTCAAGTTGGCTCATCAGATTTATGGCAGAAATAGGGGGGCCCAAGTGCGCGTTAGGCCGTTTATCCAAAAGTTCTAAAAGCAAAAGTCTATACTAGCTGCAGGCATTAGGCTTGCACTGGGGGGTGGTATCAAATCCTTGTGCATACCTCTAACCTTGATAAGCTGTCTCCCGCAAAGTTAACTCCCATTGATTCTCATCAACTCCCATTGACTCCCATTGATTCTTATCGACTCTTAGTGATTCCCATTGATTCCTATTAATTCCAATTGCTTCATTGCTTCATTGCTTTATTATTGGTATTGGTGGTATTGGTGGCATTGGTGGCATTGGTAGTAGTGCAAATGGACCTTGGCTCCCATCGCCGGGTGTGGGGGTACCCTTGGAGGGAAAAAAAAAAAGATGAAGAAGAAGAAAAGAAGAGAGGAAGGAAGGAAGAGGGGAAAGTCAAGGGAAAAAAGAAGAAAAAACTAAAGGTCGAAGTGAAAGTTCAAAGTTTGGGCGTAAGCGTTGTACGGTAGAGGCGTTGATATAAAATGGCCGACAGTTGGCTGCAGATGAGAGCTCGGACTAATTTATAAACGGCCTAACGCGTACTTGGGCTACCGTATAGAAAAGGAGATGCTGGAAAGTGTAATGGCGTTCTAAGTGTTAGCGAGGTATTTGAGTCGCCCTTCTGGGTTTTTGTTAGAGTCTTCTTCCTTTCATCCAATCAACCACCCTCTGAACTCCGAGCTATGTAGAAAATGAGAAAATGAAAAAAGAAAAAAAAAAAAAAAGAAAAGAAAAAAAAAGAACTGAACACTCTCGGCTATGTTTCAGTGCGCGAGTGTGTCCGAACAATTCTTTCGCACACCTCGCCAGAATCTTTGTGGTAAGGTGATCTACACTACTCCCCAAGTGGTTGTCAAATGACCCTTGTCACTCGCCAGGGATGTCTCAACCGTTAGAGCCCGGGATGTGGGTGGAAGGAGGGGACAAACAAACAAACACTCACACGGGACGGACCTTATCCATTATCCGCTAATGTACGAGTCTGGATTCGCACTGGGAAATAATCTGGAGGGGTTATGGGGGGACGTGAAACGAAACAAACACACATCCAAAGCTTACCAGTTACCACAACCGGCGTCCGGATATGACCGTTTGGCGGGGTGCGGTGCACTAGCCGTCCGTGAAGCCTTCACAGTAGATTTCGTGGTCTGCTAGGATGTGTCATTGTTGATATGATTATGGGTGTTTCACTGACCACAAAATCCGAGGGAGAACAATAATAATTTAGCTGAGAAGCGCCTCGTATCCTGGCCCTGATGTCTAGTTTTCCCTTCCTCGGAGAAAGGCTGGGGACGGACGAACTTTGTCGTTAGTCACGGAACTTATTTGACCGGCGCCCTTCTCAAACACTTGGTGAGCAATTGCCCACCGGCTCGACAAAAGTGCACAAAGCGAAGGCTGAAACAAATGTCCCCTCAAGGGACACGTGAGGAGACGGCGAATAGGGCTGCGTAGCGTGACAATTCGTCCGGTTTCTGATATAAAAGAACATGGGGGATGACGAGAACTTGGCATCGAGTGGGAGGCGAACTAGGGGTGATAAATACATCACAGAGGATGGGTAGAGGGCAAGGTGTGTGTTTGTGTGTACTATTAGAACACTACTACCTTTTAGCGCATGGGATTCTTCGTTGTGTTATTCCGATGATCGACGCGGCGGTTGTAGATTCATGCGGCGCATAAAAGAGCAAGGGGGTTTGACGATGAGATCAGACCCCCATGCAGCGCTTAGTTTACACCATGATGTATTCGGATCTTCGTGTTTCGCTCGCGAATGGGAATTTGGCGTATCTTGAAAACGCCATCCCCATCAACGTGAGACAGAGAATGATTTCGTTTTGTTTAGAAGAAAGGCTTTGATACGTATACCTCTCGAGATCAGATACCCGGAAGCGCGGGCGGCTAGGCGGCTATTCCAACCAACGAGGTGCTCCGAAGGGAAGCGCATTGATCTCCTTCGGCTTTGAAACAAAGCGGAGTTTCCATAGTCACGTTCGCTGCGAGTCAACAAGATCTGGAAGAGCTCTGGGGGACAGCCGCCGGAGAATCGTAGAGAACAAAATGATCAGGCTAGGCCCGGGCTGTCAGGAGCCTACGGCAAGTCATCGTTTGTCTTCTTGCATCTTGCTGGGTGTAACGACTTGGAGTTGTCCCTGGAGCGAGACAAGAAAAAGAGATTTGGACTGGAGCAAGCCACGCGGACGTGGCGGAGGATCAATGATGACGGGACGAGGATGGACAAGGTGGGGCGTATGGGCTCCAACCCAACCCTTGATGTCACTACGCTTGACGCCGCCCCACTAAATCTTGGCTCTGCGGCTGTCGGCCATGGTGGACAAGCGACGACCAACCAAACCGACTGCGTGCCTGCATTTTCAGAACAGACTAGCGCATCTCCACACCAAACGGTTCGTCGACGATGATCGGGAAGCAACGACATGGCAGATGGGCTCCAACGAACTTGTAACAGCTTGGGCAGTTGCACCACTTTGATCTAATTTCCATCCATTCATCTCTTTCTTGTCTGTGAACCACGTCGCATCCATCGGCCACCATGATCCAGTGAGCAAGTCCAGCCCCATGGGCCAGTCGGTGGCTTGTAGGCTCCGTGCTTTCAGCCGTTTCGTTTCAATGTGCCAGCCGCCAGTGGGTAATGGGCAATGGCTGGCTTGATGGTATGGACAATCAGGGCAATACGTAGTATGACTAGGTAGAGGTAGGTAGGTAGGTATGCCGCGTGCAACAAGGTCATTTGTGAAGAGGAAGGACGGGAAGGGTGCTTTCCACGGGTTGGCCTGGTACTGCATCCGTCCGTCTTTACACCAGTCTCTCGTGACGCACTCCCCGCGCGTACACAAGCTCCTTCTCATTTCGAGCCCCCGAGGTTTCAAGTGTTGCGCATCCCGCCGTGCTACCGAATTTTGGTGTGTGTTCTGCTGGTGGCATCTAGATGCTGCTAGATTCTTTTTCTACTCTCTCGTGTCGTCCAATATAACGTCCCAAGGACGAGCATCACGCATCCACCACCGTTACCCAGGTTTGCGTGATACTCTTTTCTTATTCACAGTCACCTCGGCTCTCACAATCCGTCTGATCATCGTTCTCACTCCTCATCATCTCGGTCCTTAGTCCATAGTCTTCAACCCCCCCCCCCCCCCCCCTGCATTGGCCCCGTGGGCTGGATCGACAAGAAGGCTGGTTCCAACTTCGAAAACTACGGTTCCAACAACAAGAATTATCTTCCTTTGACGACGGCAGCAAGTGAACAATACCAGGCCTTGGTCACTACCGTCTCGATAGGTTTCTCGACTCGAGCAGATTCTGCAGCCGCCGCCTTTGCTTGACGCTCATTCCGACTTTTCTTTGACCCACCCGTCACGCGCCTGGGCCGGTGGACAATTTCATTATCGACCCGGCGCACCTGCCTCCTTCTTTATTGTGTTTCGTCGATAAAACTCCCTTCGATTTCCCCACAACTTCAGGAACCCGTCACAATGGCCTGTTGAAGAAGCACACACCAAATACAATAGGAGTCACCCCGCTCGTTCTCCATTCTTGTACCCATGCTGGTCATATTATACGCTGGACGTTGAACCAATTTAGACCTCGATTCTCTTCTTCTTACAACGCCGATAGTGCTGCAGCACTCGCTTTCTGAAGCCGATTTCCTTCCTGCCTCTCACTCTTTTCGATAAACAACAAATTTTACAGCAACATCAGGCCTTCTCTCTGGAGACAACACGTCATGCAGACATTTTCACTGAAAGACACTCGGGGCCTTCTGGTTGCCGCTCTTTTTGCCATGGCCCAACTTTCAGCAGGACATTCCTGGCCCGAACAAGTGAGGCGCATCGCACCAAACGGCACCTTGGTCGGACCACTGGGTTACTCGAGGGCTTACAAACCTGGGGACAATCAGTACATGCTTCTTTCCAAACTCGATTCTGCTCTCCTTTATTTCCCAGAAAGGGCAGTCCTCACTGATCAAAGCTACAATGTCGACTATGCAATGCCAAAGGCTGCCCCAGGAGATTGGGTAGCTATCCAATACAATGAGAACGGCCACGTTTCGCTCCCAGAATCACCCGGGATCTTGAGGAACTCACCTGTAAATCGGGGCACCATCTACCTATATGGAACGACCAACAACGACCTAGCCGATGTCCGCTTCGCTGATGTTCACCTCAAATGGACGGCTGATGGCACCGGCGGCGATAAGAAGGGAAGGCTCTTGGCTACCAGGCACTTTGACGACGGTCAATGTCGTGAGCCCGTCGACAAACAATCTGGCGACCCCGCAGGCATCAAAGCTTTCCGCCGGGCCAATTACAAGATTCCGCCCACAATGGGAGATCGCCTCATGTGTCAGTCGGACATCAAGCTCCCGGCCGACCTCAAAATTGGACAAGTGTACACAATCATCTGGGTCTGGGACTGGCCACAAACGTACAAGCGGGGCGTCGCCGTCTCTCCTTATACCTTCATCGAGGAGCACAAAGACACTATAGTGTCAGTTCCCGAAATTTACACCGGAGTTGTCGATATCCAGATTGTCAACCCGTGCGACGAAAGCCTTGGTGAAGTTAAGGGTCCTGGATGTAAGAGAGGGGGCGAGAGTGACGTGCAGTTTGTGGAAACGGACTCCAGCAAAGCTGCTATCCGATCACAGATGGCGAATCTTTTCATGGTCAAAGTCCCGCAGAAAGGGAAGGCCGCAAAAGCTGGCGTTGACTATAACGAAGCTGATATCCC